ATAGCGAAATAATGTTCCGTTTTGAAATCTTTGGTAAATCGATTGATATTGACAAAAATATATTATACAAGGTCCAACTAAGACATACACCATAATATTATAGACGCCACAGTTTTCCGTGATTTGTGGGCGTTAGAGTGGCCGTGGCCGAACAAAATCTAGGCGCAATCTTTTAATTACGTATTTTTAAGAACAACTTGCTAGCTCTTATAGTTCCCGAGATTTTTGCATTGTCGATTTCCCGGGTTTTGTGGGCGATAGAGTGAGCGGGGCTTTCGCATTGAGGGCATTATAAAAACCTACATGCTTAATCCGAACTTTCTATCAGCTATAGTTACCGAGATATCAGCTTTTCTATAAAATGCGAAAACCGTCTTTCGAGCTTGGTGGGCGTAACAGTGGGTATGGCCGGATAGTAGTATCACCATATGCATCTATTCGGCATCTAGCTCCAACAGTTCCTGAGATTTTAGAGATTTTAGTTTTTCATGATTTGTGAGCGTTAGAGTGGGCGTAGCAGGATGCTGAAATAAACTTGCGCTGCGCAGCTGTCAAGTGATTCTCAGTTTGGTTTGGCAATTCATCATGAATAGAATCACGCCTAAACAACGCTTTCAAATAGTGCAATTTTATTTCGAAAGTAATAGTTCTGTGCGGAATGCGTATCGCAAACTACGTCCGTTTTATCGACGAAGCGCACTCTGGTTGAATGGCTATTTCTCCAAACAAAACTGCCGCATTTGGACTGAAGCTAACCCTCAAGTGTATGTCAAAACACCGTTACATCCAGAAAAACGGACTGTTTGGTGTGCTTTATGGGCTGGTGAAATCATAGGTCCGTACTTCTTCAAAAACAATTATGGCCAATATCTTATTGTTGGTTGCTCGATGCTAATGCTGCTCCAGGTCAGGCCGATGAGGTGGTAAGGGTAGGGTGCTTGCTGAGTAGTAGTGTGTGTCAAGATAGATGGGAATTGGCGGCCGGGCTACTGCTCCCAGGTGGCTTTTGATGGTGTGCCACCAGTAAGGTGGTTGATGATGTGTAAAATGAAGTTTATGTCAAGAGCGTGACTGCCCCTATGCCCCTGGCCTTAAGATCAGTGGGCAAATGCAGATTATATGACGGCAATAGCCGGAATAAAGTTTATGGAGCTAAGTGCTCTTTATTCAAATAATTATAAAACAGAACTGAGGAACTTTGCTGTACGAAAAACGGAGCTTAGTCGGCAGGCCGACCGCATGACAGTGGAAAAAGCTGACTATCGCAAAATGAGCATAACTCACCATACCGGGAACCAATGGGACCCAGGCACGGCCCCCAAAGGCGGGTATGCTGAGTCAGCATCTAGAAAGACTAGGGTGATCCAAGAATCACCCAAGATTTCTACCGACTGTTTGTTACCCCCAGTAGTGTTAACTGGCCAGACGTTCTAATGGAAAATTGGACTTTCAGATTGGACTACATCCGAGGCAGCCGTGGCGGTCATATGCCAAAAATTATATTTTAAATGTAATGCCACAAGATTATCTTTTGAAAAGTTCTGTGAATCGAATAATCTATCGTTGTTTCATTGAAAGTTTTATACCTTTAGCGATTTCGTTTTTCCGTGATTTGTTGGCGTTAGAGCGGGCGTGGCAGGGTGAAATAAGCTTGCGGCTTATGGCTTGTACCAAAAAAAGCTGATAACAGTGGAAAAAAAAGTGGGGTATATGTATTGATTATCGCAAATTGAATGAAAACACAGTATATGATATGTTGTAAGTTAGGAAGAGCTCAATATTTTTCTACTATAGTCTCGAGAAAGGCTTTTACCAAATTCTTGTTCAGGAACAAGATAGGGAAAATACAGCGCTTTCTACTCCTCACGGGCATTACTAGTTTAATCGGTTGCCATTCGGGCTCAAAAACGCTCCTGCCACATTTCAACGCCTTATAAAAACAGTCTTAAAAGAAATAAATAGAATTTATGTGGTCTATCTTGACGACGTTCTTATTTTTTCTACTAGTTTTTCAGAACATGTTGGCCACCTTCACAAAATTTTTAAAAAACACTGAAGCAAATCTTAAGATTCAAACCAACTAATGCAAATTCTTTTCAAAAGAAACTCAGTTTTTGGGTTATGTTTTAACCCCCGAAGGAGTAAAGCCTAACTTAACCTTGCGGTATAAAATTGGTTACAATAATGCGATTCAAGTCAAATATTTGCCGTTTTGTTCGATGACGCGTTCCCAACGAGATGCCAACTTAATAATGCCCCTCTCATAGAAGCTCGCTTCCCTATTGGCAAAAAACTCGGAGCGTGGCGCATCTTCGACCACCTCTACACCAGAACGAAAACGTTGATACCATCGTTGTGCGGTGGAAATGAAAACTGTATCGGGTCCATAAACTGCAAAAATTTTATTGGTGTTTTATTAGTATGACGTGATGCTACGAATAAAACAAGAACTATGCGCTTTCAGTCTTTTTCAAGTCTTTTTTGACAACCTAATATAACAGAAAAGAACTTAATGAAATACTTTATAGATGGCTTGTTAAGCTCACCGAATTTAATATAAACGTATCATTCATTAAAGGAAAAGATAACCAGGTAGCTGTTTTTTTAAGTCGAATAAGTAACGACGAAATTTGTGCCGTAGCTGAATCCTGTAGCTCTTTAGAAAACAATGTTGATGCCATTGGTACACAACATACACAAGCTGAAGACTTTGTAGACACAACTACTTTAGGTAATTTAGAAACAGTTGTTAATAGATTTAAAATACAAATCATTCTAACAGATAAAAAACCCATGGAATTCGAATATAAAAATAAAAATAAGAAAATTTATTTAAATTTAAATGATCTCGAAAATAGAATGGAAGAAATTTTGAAGCATCATGTCATAAAAGGCAAAGTAGGAATATTCAGTGAATATAACGATCATCAATACAATAAGTTTCAAAACAAAATTATCCAAATTTTTAAAGGTAATAAAAATGTAAAATTTGTAAAATGCTAATTTCACGCAAATGACATTGAAAACAAAAAAAGGTGTGTATAAAGAAATTGAACGATTCCATAAATATGATACTGGTCATCCAAGTATAAATGAAAATTACCAAAGCTTAAAAAAGATTATTTACTTTCCAAAACTTCAACATTACATCCAAAAGTATATTAACAATTGTGATATTTGAAATCAATGTAAATATGATAGGAACCCAGTAAAAGAAAAATTAAAATATACAGAAACACAAAAACGATATAAAAAATTGTTCATATGGATATCTATACAAATTCAAAATGTAATTTTCTAACTTTTATTGACCAATTTTCAAAATTGGCTACTGCATAATACCTTGAGGATCGCTATAATCAAACTATAATCGAAAAAACGCGCTTGTACACATCCCAAAGAGGAAACTTTGAAAAATTAATAACTGATAATGAATTTAATAGTGTAAATATAAAAGATTATTTATGAAATGAGAACATAGAAGTTCATTTTGTGAAACCGAACAGTCACACTGACAATGCAGACGTTAAAAGATTCCACAATACTTTAACAGAAAAAATAAGAATAATATACCTCGAAAAAAAAGATCTATCAATCAAAGATAAAGTTAGTAAAGCTATAGAATATTATAATAACAGCTATCACTCAACAATACAAAATTCGCCAATGAATATTGAATATGGAAATTGTGACAAAAAACTTGTACGTAACAACATTCTAAAATATAAGGAAAATTACATTACATCTTTAAATTTTAAAGAAACTAGAAATGAGGGATACATAAAAAACAATAAGTCTCTAGGACACAAAAATGAACCGAAATATAGGAAATTTAATTTAAACAATGTAAATAGCTCCAACATAAAAAGAAAGAAGAAATATCAAACTTCAAATGTAATAATAGCTATCCACCCTTAATTAACCAATTAAATTAAACACACGTATATATGTATGGATCACTTTGGGAATTTGTGCGGAAATACTTTAAATATATTTTGTGGAATATAAGCAAGAAATGAAATACAACCTACTTCGTCTTGTATTTGGTTATATAAGATAAAGTTATGGAATATTGTGGCGGCATGCTTGGCCACAATATTCTCCGCCTGCACAAGTCTTGCAGGAGGTTATGCCTTGGCACGTGCTGCTCACGGATGTGTTGGTTTTGGATCGGTCGTTGTGGCAAGTTGCTGCCCACAACAACCGGTCACTTTGTTGGATGCCTCTGCAGCGGTAGAGTGATGAAAAGTGCAAATCGGGTCCAGGTGGTGGCGACGTAATAGCAGGGTCTAGCTCCAGCTGTTATATTAAAGTTGTAGGATATTGTGGGAGCGTGTTTGCCCACGTGGTTGACAAAAATGAAAACACCCGGGTGGCTGGATAATGAAATTTGGTCAAGCTGTCGTTCAGCTAACTTGGTATAGGAATTAAATGCAATGGTAAGGGCTTTCATCCTTCGTGGTAAGATAGATTGACAGAGTGGCATACTGAGAAACTTGGAGACCAACAGTGGAAAGACAGACTCAGACAGACTGACAAACCTAAAGAATATGAAACTGATAGTGCCTTACAGTTTTGCATACAAAGGCATATCAAAATTATAAATTTTTGTAAAGAAAATTAACAGACACTTAAAATTTCTTTAAATCATAACCTTTTAGTGCTTGGCGGCTAATTTAAGTTAATAAAAATATCAAATGCCAAGTTTTTCCATTTCTTGCCGATTAGAATATAATAATCATTGAGGTTTTTCGTAGCTCAGTCTATTAGGGAAAATATTGAAAAAGTATAGGAAAAAAGTATATACATTTCATGTTTCATTTATCTTTTAATTTTAACTAAAACCTGTTTAAATGTGACATTTAGTATTCAAAATAAATTTATTTTAGTTTCAATACTTTTACATTTTTAGGTGTAGATTGCAAAAAAAAAAATTAAGCAAATTTCGAACTTTGTAAAAAATAATTAAATAATAGACATTGTTTTTATTTATTTTACAGCTTTGCGATTGGAGTTGCTAATACTGGAGCTACCGCGATAGCTGAAATTCAATTTGCTGATTATATTTTTCCGAGTTTTGACCAAATAGTAAATGAAGCAGCAAAGTATCGTTACCGAAGTGGTGGGCTCTTCGACTGTGGATCTTTAACTTTTAGAGTTCCTTGTGGAGCTGTAGGTCACGGAGCACTTTACCATTCTCAAAGTCCAGAAGCATACTTTGCTCATACCCCGGGCCTTCGTGTTGTGGTAACTAAAAGAAATAGATACTAACTATAGAGACTGCTGATCCATTCCATTTCTCTTAAAATAGGTTCCTCGTGGGCCAATAAAGGCAAAGGGTCTTCTTCTTGCATGTATAAGTGATCCTAACCCTTGCATCGTATTTGAGCCTAAATCTTTGTATCGAGCAGCTGTAGAAGAAGTACCAACGGAATATTATACCTCGGAGCTCGGCAAAGCCGACATACTACGAGATGGAAAAGATGTCACACTAATTGGTTGGGGTACTCAAGTCCATGTTCTATTAGAAGTACGTGCTAATGTCTTATCACTAAATTTTTGGTACTAAAGTTTTTGATGTTATAGGTAGCTGAACAGGCAAAATTACATTTTAATGTCGATTGTGAAGTAATTGATTTGGTATCTATTTTGCCATGGGATACTAATACCATATGCACCGTAAGTAGCTTGTATTGTAATTTTTTCAATTTGTTAAAAAAATAGAATTATTTTAGTCTGCGAAAAAAACTGGACGGGTTATAATTTCTCACGAAGCTCCATTTACACAAGGATTTGGCTCTGAACTAGCATCGTACATTCAGGAAAAATGTTTTTTGTACCTTGAAGCACCAGTAAAGCGTGTGACAGGATGGGATACACCATTTCCTAATGTCTTTGAGCCCTTTTATTTGCCTGATAAGCACCGATGCTTGTCAGCTATAAATGAAATTGTTAACTTTTAAAAAATTTCGTTTATGTTAACATGTTGCTAAACCTATTGTTCGAATACTATTTGAAAAGCAAAATTGATTAATTCTTTACTTTACATTTTTTTGTAAGCCAAAAACTTGAAAATAAGCAAGGGCATGTTTAAATAAAAATTTGTATAGGTATACCCGTTCTAAGAAATGCATTTTAAATCAAGTTCACTGTCCGAGTTGCTTTGTCCATATCCATTATCCATTTATCCACTATAAGAGCCGGACAGTTAAAAATGGCAGTACAGTGCAAGTTTATATTGAAAGTTATCCACACCCAAAATTCATACACTTCAGATACGTTTGTAAATAATAATACATACTAAACTTACTTGAAAAGGTTATATATCAAAGCTTTCGGTTTTAGCAGACAGATATCTGAAATCTTTATTCAACCACTGTTTAGAATTCACAAACGTAATATAATATTAAAATTTATTTTTTCTTAAACTTGTGGTTTGCTACTCTTTAATTCTCATTAGCACTTTTTCAAATCGAAACATTCAAACACTGCCAACCTTAACAGTGGTAAGCAGTGTCGAACAATCTCAATGTTGTTAGGCTTAAACTGGTTGTCAGCTTCGTAAGAAACTGTAACATATTTGGCAGGTAAAGATACCGATTTAAAATTTTAAAATATTCATTTTGCTAGTGGAAATTCACAAAGCGCTCCCTATTATCACAGAAAGCATGTTAAGTAACTGATAACCTACAATTCTTCATAAAAAGCGAAAAAATGTTCCGATTTGAAAAATCTTTGGTAAATAGATAGATATTGACAAAAATATGTTATACAAGGTCAATCGAAGACATACACTATAATATTATGGACGCTACAGTTTTCCGCGGTTTGCGGACGTTAAAATGGACGTGGCCAGATAAAAACTCGTGTCGAGTTGCAGTGGCATCTCTAAAATAACTAAATAACTCTTATTGTTCCCGAGATGTTTGCATTTTGCATCATAAAAGGGTATACTAGATTCGTTAAAAAGTATAGTAGAAGGAAGCGTTTCCGATCCTATAAAGTTTATACATATATATATTCTTGATCAGGATCAATAGCGAAGTCGATTGAGCCATGTCCGTCTGTCCGTCCGTCCGTCCGTATGAATGCAGAGATCTCAGGAACTATAACAGATACAAAGTTGAGATTAAGCATAAAGATTCTTGAGGTCCCTAGACAGCGCAAGTTTATTTCAGCATCCTGCCACGCCCACTCTAACGCCCACTAATCGAAAAACTAAAATCTCTGAAATCTCAGGGAATTACAGCTCTCAGAGAATTAGAGCTAGAAAGTTGAAGCATTTACAACCTTGAGATGCCTTATGGTGGAACCCACCCACTCTTATGCCCACCAAGCTCTCTTTTTTTAGAAAATCTGATATCTGATTAAGAATGTAGGTTTTAATGATGCCCCTTATGCAAATTGTTTTTTTCCGATCAAACGACGCCCACCCTCACGCCCACAAAACCAGAAAAACAAAAAATGCAAATATCGGGACCTATAAGATGTTTATTTTAGAGATGCAATTGCAACTTGTCACGAGTTTTCTTTTGGCCACGCCCACTCTGACGCTCACAAACCGCGGAAACTGTGGCGTCTATAATATTATTATGAATGCCTTCGTTTGACCTTTAAATTGGAACATTATTTCGCTATTTATGAAGAACAACAATCGCAGCTGATCCAGATGTCGCCTGACTGTTCGGTCGTCCTCAAGACACACCGAATAGGAAATCGGTCCCGTGGTCAGTTCGTTTCGCCGAACGAAGAAAGGGTACAGGTCATCATGACGCTGAACTTCAGCACTACTCCATTCCCTTAACACCCAGTTGAGCACCTTTCTGAGGCTGCAATCCCTAGACGTGTTGGTAGCTAGGGTGTTCGCGGTGACAGTTGCCCATTCGGTCATGAAAACTTCTTCTGTTCGAGGCTCATGGGGTATATCTGACGTTGGGCAGCGGCTTAGGAAATCTGCATTACTTATTTTTGTTCCAGGCTGATAAATTAACTTGAATTTATACGCTCTCAAAAAGTTGATCCACGCATCATCGTGTTGAAAATGATTTGAGGGATTGGCTTTTCTGTCGAAAAGATTCCCAGCAGTGGTCGATGATCTGTAATAAGCGTGAACTTCCTTCCATATAAATAGTTATGCAATTTTTGACACCTACGACTAACGCTACCGCTTCTCTGTCGATCTGCGAGTAGTTCCTCTCTGCCTTTGACAACGTGCGATAGTAAAACGCAATCGGTTTCTCTGTTCCATCTTACATTTCGTGGCTAAGTACTGCTTCTAACCCGTATGGTGACGCATCGCAAGTTAAGATCAGCGGGCGGCCCGGAGTGTAAAGAATTAGGACCACATCCATTGGGATCAAATTCTTTAGTTCTGCGAATGCCTTTTGGTGCACCGGACGCCTGTTCATTGTACGTTTTTGTCTAGAAGTCCATGTAATGGCTCCGCAATGGTGGCCTTCTGGGGCAAGAATGAGTGATAAAAATTGATCCCAGAAACGCTTGCAACTGTTTTTTCTCTTTTGGCGGTGGCGCCTCATGGTTGGCTCTAACTTTGTCAGCTGATGGCCTAATGCCGAGAGCGTAAACTTTGAATTCAAGAAATTCAATGGAAGAGACCCCAAACTGACCTTTGTCCTTGCGCAGACGTAATCCTGCCTGGTCCATACGGGCTAGAACCTCGTTTAATCTACTCGCAAGTTCTTCTTTTGATTTATTCAATATTATAATATTGTCAAAATACGGACGCCCGGTATGTTCTGCAGTTATCTTTCAATGCAGCTTTGGAACATTCGTGAAATTTCGAATTGTAGTCTTGTTACCTTAAATGCTCCTTTGTGAGTAGCAATTGAGCCTCCTTCTATCGATGCTGATAGCGTGTTGATTGAAGGAATTTGATGGCAATGCGGCTGTACCGCTCTGTTGAGCGTAGATTTATAATCTCCACAAATACGAATGGAACCATCTTTCGTGACTATTGGAACCGTCGGAGTGGCCCACTCAGAGTACTCTACAGGCTCAAGTATTCCTTGGGCACAGAGACGGTCCAACTCTTTTTCATATGGCTTGAGGAGTGCGTAAGAAATTCGACGCGGTGGTAGTATAACCGGCGGAACTTCTTGGTCCACTTTAAGGGCCACTGGCGGCCCCGTATACCGCCCAAGTTTTGATGAAAACAAATGGTCGAATTTCCTTAGAACTTCCGTGATACCATTGCCGCACTGCACACCATGAATGCCTTCTATGCGGATTCCGAGGTGTTCAAACCAGTTGCATCCTAGAAGGTTTGACCCGGGGCCGGACGTGACGACCAATGGGAGATTACTGATACGACGATTGTTGTAGCGGAATGACGTGTCGGTGATTCCCTTGACCGGAATAGGGTTACGTTGATAGTCGCTTAGCTTTAGGTGGCACTTGACGAGATCGGGATTACCTTTTAATCAGAAGTACCGATATTAAGATTCTTTCATGATGGTAACGGGCGACCCGGAATCAACTTCGAACTGGCATGAGCGACCGTTAATGACCACGGCCCCGGCTTTTTTGGGGCTGACCACGGGAACTATTTGATGAACGTGTCCGTGCGATGGCCTGTTGTTACGAATGTCACTGGGCATTGGAGATGAAGATTTTGTTTACCCAGCTTGACTGTTACTGCGGCATACCCGACGTATGTGGCCAGTTCGACCACAGGAATGACAAGAGGCGTTGCGGAACGGATACTTCTCGCGGACGTGCCGACCCCCACAACCCGGACATTGTCGCCTCGAATCGACAACGCACTCGCAGCGGCTGTTTCACTAGTGACGGCTCGGGGTCGGCTAGGAGGCTTCGCTGGAGACCTTCGTTGCGCATGCCACACACAAATCAGTCCTGCAACGTGCGATCTAACATTTGTCCGAAATTGCACCCTACCGCCAAACTTCTTAATGCGGCCATGTAGTTACCGACGGACTCGTCGGGTTGCTGATCACGCATGTGCAAATGGTAGAATGCAGTAATCTCCGATTGGCGGGGCGCCAAGCGACTGGTTAATATATCATACACGCCTGTTAATTGCAAATCAGTGACTTGCCTGGGTGATGTTAACGACACAGTAACTCAAAAAGGCTAGTGTAAGAAACGCCGCCTTCTTCCGGTCCTCGTCCACGACGCTATTTGCTAAAAGGTAAAGCTCGAAGCGATCTCGGTACGCCTTCCATTTCCCAGGGGTTAGCAAGTCGAAAGGTTCCAGAGTTCCAACTCCCGCCATAGCGACTCCGCAAGTTTGGAAGTCCGCTTTTAGCTTATCACTACTGGCCGCAGTATTTGGCTCAACTGTACAGCCGCTTTTAGCGAGACTCCCTCGTGGAGTTGATTGACTATCACTTATCTCTTGTTTTACATCTTCGCCGGCGCTTTTCTCAGCTTGACCGACAGTTCGGCGCTTATCCATGTGCTTGCTTCAAGAATAATAAGACTAATGCTATTGGCCATACGGTAAATACTCGTCACCGATAATTCCGTCTCTCTCTTTCCATCTACGACAATTAAGGAATTTAATTAGCTTACGCTCAGGTGATTACAATCCCATTCTCGTCGCCAATTTTAGGTATGCGCAAGCATGTATTAAATTTATTTCAGTAATTCAGTAATGAGAAATAGAAGTAGCAATTAGTACAGGAGGTGCCGTGAGTGCAGCTATATCTGCATGGGCTCGCGATTGAGTGAAGACTGACTTCGGTAAAACGAGATCTAGCAAACAGATTAAATCGTTGTGCCTTAGTCACTTTGGTAGAGCCTAACACTCTTGAGGAAGAGAAAAGGCATTGTTACCACCTTTTGACTCAATCGGCCAAACTCTGACCAATTAGTATTTAATTTCTCGCCAAAGCGAGACACTTCAGCTGTCATCAGCTGTCTTTAAAAATAAACATCATATTTTTCGCGATTAAACCTATTATTTAAAGAGTGTCAAATTCGTTGACTTCCCCAAAACATTTGAGGACCCCGACGTGATTGTTTTAATCTAAAGAAACAACTACAAGTCTTCGAAAGCTTAGGACAATATGAATTCCCATCTATGAGTATTTAGGACACTCGCTACTTCTAAAAAAATCTTGATGTATTTTTATTATCAGGGTGACACAAAAATAAATTCGAGGAGTCTAGAGCGTTGGGAAAAGAGATTGTTATCCGGCTTTTGCCAACGTGTTCCTCTATGGCTCTGTTTTTGGAAAAACGATTAGGGCTGATGGTGAATATGGAAATGGCAAGTACTTAAACAAATAGCCGATTTTGTATTTTTTTGGGAATAAAGGGATCATTATCTTTCAATATGCACAAAGCTTTTCCTCCTTCCGAAAAAGATCCATCTGTGTTTGAAATGTCTGCGGAAAGGTAATGGCCTGCAACAATGCACATTAGGATGTGTCGGGAAGAGTTATCT